TTACTAAACACTGGAGACACTGCAGTGAGCAAGGCACAGGTGGTCTCTGCCAACACGGAGAGTCCATTCTCGTGAGGGGTAAGGGGGTGCCACATAATAAGCAGAAAACCAAAAATATAATAAAATAAACATAATATGTCAGGACATGAATGTCATCTATCTCTAAATAGTATAAATGGGATGTGGCCATGGCTTCCTACCTTCCTTCAATAGGGAAGTCAAGGGGATATTGAAGCACAGCCCCCCAAAATGAGAAGGATCCAGCTACAGGAAGTGCAGGGCAAAACATTCTAGGCAGAAAGAACAGCATTGTGAGGGCCTTGAGCCAGATCCTCTACTTAGCATTGTACAGGGATCGTCACTTCAGCACCACCGCACCAGGCAGACACTATTATTAATAATAGATAATGAGGCTCGAAGAGGAAGACAGACTCCTTGAACACATCCATCCCTTAACTCCCTTATGTGGCAGAGCTGGGATTCGAACGCAGGTTCATACTACCACTGAAGCCCGTGCCTCAGTTGTGATACTCAGCCCCTCTGTCCTCTCTCTAAGAAAGACGGGCATCACCAGAGCACCTCCAGAGGGGACGAAGGGATATTCTGGCCCTGCAGCCGATGCCACAGGCACAGCCAACAGCCTCAGGGCCACCTGGCAGGACCGTGCTGTACAGTCACTCCCTGGTCATAGAGCCAGATCCCAGGTTTAAGCTGAGTATCGCGTCACTGTCAATGAGAGGCTCCACCACAGCCATCACAGGATACCCTAGCTGGCTCTCTTTTCCTCTTTCCTTGAGAGAGGATCATGGAAGCACATGGGGACATATGGGAGAGATGGGTAGGGAAATGGGGAATAACAACACAGTAATAATAGCAAAAACTTATATAATGCTTCCGGTGCTAGCTACCGTCCCAAGGGCTTCCGTTATGCTAACTTGCTTAATCTTCAAAATAAACCTCTAACATCACCCCCATTTTACAGATGAGGAAACCAAGGCCCAGAGGGTCTTATCACTTACCTAAGATGGCACAGATGATAAATGGCAGAGCAGGGATTTGAACCCAGGTGGCTGATTCCAAAGCTCACACTTCTTTTAGCCTTTTTATGACAAAAGAAGACAAACAGAAAAACACACAGAACAAATGCATAACCTTGTGAATTGTTATAGGGCAAACACCCTTGTAAGCAGCACACGGGTCAAGAAATAGAACTTTGCCAGAAACCCCAGGAGCCCCTGTCTGTGCTCCCCTCCCAGGCACAGCCCCCTCCTGCCCTCTCTCTAAAATCAACCGCAATTTGGATTTTTATTGGAAGAATTTTTTTTTTTAAGGAAGAATTCCCTGTGTTTCTCTAGAGTTCTCTCACCTGAGTGTGTATCCCTAGTCACTGCTGATTAGTCAGTCCAAATTTGGTAACTTTTAAGTCTCTTTCAATCCATACATTCTCCCTCCATCCCTCTCTTTTTCTTGTAATTTATTTATAGAAGAGCATTAGTTGTTTGACCTGTGGCTTTTCCCAGCCTGGATTTTGCTGGTGGAATATGCACAGTACAACTCAGCATGTTGCTCTGTCCTCTGAATTTCCTGCCAACTGCTCGCTGGATCTAGAGGCATGCTCAGACTCAGGTTCTATCCTTCTGGCAAGGTCCAGGGAGGCGGAGCAAGGGGGGAGGCATATTCTTCCATCAGGGGCATGGAATGTCTCTTTTCTTCTGTCTCTTGATCAGAGCCCATGCTATTAACCACATTGCTATAGGGATGCTTCCTGGGTGTCCTCAGCTGCTCCATGATTTGCTCCACCCCCTGGACATATCTGTCTCCAAAAGCAAGCCTTTTATAGGCACCACGGTTTCTGCTGCCGTGGGCCTGGCTGGCACTTGAAGGCAGCCCATCAGAGGTCCCACCTGAGCTTCTCCACACTCCAGGGGCTGCGGTGGATGAGGCCCTGCCTCCCCGATGAGCATCACCTCTGTCTGCTCCTCCCTCCAGCCCAGTTCACCAGGCAGATGGAATTCTGCGTCATTTCCCAAGAGACCCAGGTTCTCCCCTACCGCTGGGCCTTTGCTCATGCTGTTGCCTCAACCAGAAACACTCTTCCCCTCACCTTCTCTGACTGAGCATGGCTGATCCTTCGGGTCCTAGCAAATCTGTCCCTCCCACCTTATGCCCACCCTGCCAGATTACCTTTTACATAGCCTCACTTCTCCTAGGCTAACCTCGTAAGTAGCCTCATAAGCAGCACTGATGCCACTACATTATACCTGCTTGTTTTCTTAACCGTTTTCCTTGCTAGAGACAGGGACCCTAGCACAGGACCTGGCATACAGTAGGTGCACAGTAAATGTCTGTCCAATGCATGCATGCACCAGTGAATGAATTGGACTTTACGAGTCACATGGAGGCAAATCCAGGCTTGGACTGAAGGACCTTTGAGACAATGAGAGCCCTTCTAAGATGACACACACCCAGTTCCCCACCCCCCCCGGGGGGGGGGAGTAGTTAAGCAGTTGTGTGGTGCAGATCACAGAAGGAATTCCCACTGGGGTGGCTCAGTCGGTTAAGCGTCTGCCTTCCGCTCAGGTCCTGATCCCAGGGTCCTGGGATCCAGCTCTGTGTTGGGCTCCCTGCTTGGTGGAGAGTCTGCTTCTCCCTTTCCCTCTCCCCCTGCTCCTGCTCTCTCTCTCTCTCTCAAATAAATAAAATCTTATAAAAAAAAAAAAAGAAAAGAAAAAGGAATTCACACCTGGGATAGAATCCGTCTAGAAAAATGAGTCTTGCTTCTTGGAACATAGCAGAATCTTCTCTTCAAACAATCTTACTAGGAACCACTAAATATAAGCCAAGTTCAAGAGGAGGAGTTCGTGTTTCAGCACTGGAGGAGGCAGAAGCCCAGCCCCTGGGCTTTCCTTTGTCCTGAGCACAAGGGTTTCTCTGAACAGTGGCCTGCCTGTATTTTCAAGTTGCTTTATCATAGCCACTGTGTCTGCGATTAGGAGGCCACCACACTGGGGAAAGAAGTGTCCTAGCTGACACCCTAACTCCACCCTATCCCTGTGGTACCACCGGGGGCTCATCCCTTCTTCATGCCCACACAAGCCCTCTTTCTATGAACTGCTCCTCTGGCCCCCCAAGGACATCACATTTCTGAAACCGTGTAGATCAGAGGACTCTGGGCCGAGCCAACCCAACAGAGGAGCAAGCAGAGCTGCAGGCCTGCCTTGCAGGGCGCGGAGCCAGGGGTTTAGTCTCGGAATTGGATTATGAGAGTGAATTTAGAACTCCCAGCAACACCCTCCCCCCCTCCTCCCTAGCCTCAGGGACACGGGGATTACCCAGGCC